GAAAATCATATTTCCATGCACATTTTCATTACGTATAGAGAGTAGAAATCTATTTTTCGAAAAGTCCTACAACCAATTGGATTGTGTTAACTTAGAATGTTTAATAAATCTTATTAAGTCAAAATCTCCCATATTAAAGAATGAAAACGTCTTGCGCTATTAAGGGCAATCTTTTATGATTTACAACTTCAGAGATCCAGCTGAAGAGAAAGATTAATTACAAAATAAATTGATACTATTCTAGTTTTGGCGTTCCAAAACAATATGTTGGCGGAAACATTTACCTACATGGGCAAAAAATAGTGAATTTTCTTCAGTTGAAAATCTGTTCACTTTCTGATTTTCAATCATGTCACAAAATTTGATATTGAGAGTTTTTTGATTACTAGACTTTATAAATACAGTCTTACAAATTTTATATTTTCCATTTTTATCATCATAGGATATTATCACTTAAAGGAGTTTGTATGTGGTTATATTCGTGTCCGACAGAAATTAGGTTTCTTATGTCCTAATATACAAAATGAGACATTTTGAGTCGTATTACTTCAAGCTTAGTGTTTAAGAGGAATCTATTTCACTTCATATTTGCATTTCTGAATGTGAAAAGTATATTATCAATTATAGTAATAATAATTTGAATAGTAATTTTTGCACTTAAACAATATTATTATTACTTTTTTATAAACGTTTTTAGTGATGCTATTTTTCACTTATCATTTCACATAAACAAAGAATAATGGAGACGATATATTTGCTTCCGGAGGACTTTGTTCTGATAGCGGTTGAAGTCAGGAGACCAGTTTCCGTAGCATTTCTCAACCATGCGGAAAGGATACCCTTGTTTTAATAGGTTGGTTTTCAAAGGAATTCAAATTGCATGGTATTGGAGGGAATTAAGTCAAGGGAGGTGTCATATATGTTCACTTTTTCAAACAAAGCTTTAGTGAGCCTTCCTTCCTAAATTTGGCACCTACGTTGTTTGGTGTCTTAAATTAAATCTATTTTAAATTAAATTTATTGTTGATCGCTGTACAACTCCGTGGTCAGAAGCGATCTAAATCTCATTCACACTTTTACATTACATTAATATTTCCACATTTCATTACATTACACATCATTGACAAGTAACAATTTATAACATTCTCCAAACAACAAATACATATAATAATACAAGAATTGTGAATTGCTGAAGATGAGAATTGTGCATTGTGGATTTTGAATTGTTGAAGAAACGAAATATGGTATATAAATGTCTCATTGTGTAAAACTTAGAAATTCACTAATTTTGTAAGACCCTGGAGTAGAATATTTTGACTGTGTCAAAACGTTATGTGCAAACACCAATGCCTATTTATTTACCTAATAATCAAGATCAATGTCACACTTTTTATGTCATCTCTCCCCACACACACATCAATGAAAAAACATGAACTTCTACACAAACTTACATTCAAGTTCAAAATGTTAGAAGAAAAAATTGCTGATTTCTCAGGAGAAATAACGAAGAAATTAGTTATTTTATTTCTATTTTTATAAAAAGAAACATCTATTTCATTATTATTCCTCAAGTTTGATGTCATCAAAGAAAATAATTAACTCAAATTTACGTCAAACGATTTAAAAAAATTTGATCACCGTGTGAACGCGTCGACGTTTCTATTAATAATACATATGTCTAACTTTATATTATATTGTTAAAACGGTTGTGTCAATTTTAAATTTATATTTTACAGTTTAATGATTTCTTGTATGTAATTGTGAATTGCGTTTTATACCAGAAACTTTTCGTGATGTATAATTTAATAACCCTACCTCTTTAAAAGAGTACTTTTTTATTCCACCGAGCGCGGTAATTCGTGTTTAACGTGTTTGTAAGTTGATAATCGTTTTAATGGACTAGACAAGGAACAACCTTCGACACGCACACAATGCAATTTATTTTGAGGAGTTATTAGAACGCTTAAATTAATAAATTGCCTAAAAGTCGCTCAAACAATTACAAAACTCAATTCTGACGAGAGAACACTCTCAAGATGTCATAAAATTTTATACTGCATGTATTACCTTTTTAAAAGAAGTTTTACATTTTCGTTATTTCGTGTGTTTTATGATGGGGATGACTCACTCGTAAATCAATGATTGAACCTCTTTATTGAAGATGCGATTTAAAATCATCAATGGAAATTAAATGTATCAATGTATGAAATTGTATGTATTAATGTAACATTTTACTTTCCCTTATAGATACGTTTATATGGAGTAATATACGTAGTATATGGAAAGCTATGTAATGTTGTGGAAAATCGATATCGACATTTCAACGGAAATACATGTTTTGTGGTTCCCTCATTTGCTTTTTTGTGTTTTTTCAGTACGTCCGTCTGTCCGTCTGACCGTCTTTCTGTAAACACTATTAGCATCTAAACATGCGTACGATTTTTTCCAAATTAAAGAAACCTATCCCTACCTATCTGACTGGAGTCGAAATCAGGTACATTTTTTTTCAAAATTTGGGAGTACTTCGCTTGAAGCCCCTGGATATTTTCAAAATTTTCTCAAAAGCGGTTCCAAATTTTTTTAAAAAAATTCTTGTAGAAATAGAGTCAAATACTATTATAAAGGTACCATCGATCCGACTTAAGGAAAATGTAATTTTTTAGACATGTTTATCACGTTATATTTAAATGAACACGCAATTTAAATAATGGCATGTAAAGGTTCGAAAACTCAATCGTTTTCTGTGAAAACTAGTCCAAAATTCCGCATTTTCAGTAACACTCTAACGCCATTTTGTTAAAAACGGATCCAATTTTTTCTTTAAGGATTACAACGCTAATTACACTCTTTAATATAACGTAAATTTGTTTGGGGGTATTCTTTTGCTTTTTTAAATATTAATTTTTTTTAAAAGATATCTCACTCCGTTTGTATGTACATTTTTAGCAAATTGTAAGAACTGTGTTTGTGAGTTAAAGTGCTTCAAGTGACTTCCAATGAAATGTTTCGAAAACTCAAAATAATTCTATGAAAAAGAGCAACAAAAATTTGAATGTACAGGAACACTTAATGCCATTTTCTTAAAAACTGCTCCAAATTTTTTTAAGAAAATTGCTATTTATGACGAGGTTTTACTGTTATTCGATATTCTTAAAGCTATATTTCCGTTCTGCCATTAGGAAACCGAAAAATTAAGAAAATTTCCATTCCATTGGGCTAGATGGCAGCTGCTAAGAGAGTGTGGCAAGTCCGAATATCTAACCGGGATCAAAAGAAATAGATAACTAATACGAGAAACTCTGTGCCATTACTTTGCACTACTAGTTTAATTAATGCAGTGCACATTTAATTAATTAATTAATTACAAAAATGCTCAATAATTTTATTAAGCTCTGACCTTTAAAGACGAAGTATTCAAAACCAGAAATGTTTCCAATATAATTGGTTAAGTTAACTATTAAATGGTACGTTAATTACTCAATGAAATTTATTACTTACAAACATGAATATTATACTATACCATCACGCAAACTATGAATTTCTTATAAATTAATATTGTGAATGAATGGATTAAAGTTTATTATAATTTTAGCTTCAATAAAAATGAAAATTGTATTACTATTTGTTTAATTGATAACTTAAATGGTAACTACATATTAAAATTTCTTATAAATGATGAAAATAGTGAGATATTAAACAAGAATATAATCACAGGTTGGTATTTATGATCACAAATCCAAACTAAAAAGTTGCATTATTAACTGCTGTGAACATTCCTGAATAATAGTTATGCACTTCTATATTTGATAATTTTATAATAAATTATGCTCTAAAAAATGATACCATTAGTAAATAATAATTTTCAATAAATATCTGTTTGAAAAACAAACAAGTGTTTTAATAATCGCATTACAGAAGTCTTCTATTCTTTACTCCAGGCTTAAAGATCGGTCTTTTGTCTACGATGATCTATGAAGTGACGGATGATCTTGTAATGATAATCCTCTTTCAAAGCAAAATATTCAAACGATTTGAATCAAATGATTGAATGCGTCTTCATCCAGCTATCAGCTATTGGAGTTTGACCAATTGTCTGTGTCCATTTGTGTGAGTTTTCTGATTCATTGCCTTTGTTAGAAAGAACTAATTCTTGAACATACATTTACTAGACACTATATTTATTTCAAAAATATTTTCTAAGTTGCCGTACATTTTGATTCCCTTGTTATTTCCATCAACTTCAACATTTGCCATTTCACTAAGTAATTTTCTTTTCTGTAAGTAATTTTGTTTGTTCGAAGTTTAAAAAATTCTTTATAAGAAAATGATAATGTAGTGTTCTCAGAAGCTTTTTCGCTTTTATCATGCTACTCGAGACCAGAAACCCGTACCTTCCAAAGGATATACTTCCCGTGGGATTGCGAGTGCTTGATAAGCTCACTCGGATAACTGTGGGTGTATTGTTCTCTAGGGCATCTGGTGACTGTAACGCACGTTCCCCGTGTTGTAAATTCGGAAAACCTCTACAAAGTGTGTAAACGTTTATTAGAAAAGATATAAGTTATGTGTACTAATTGTTATTTTTATTTTTCATACGCATTTTCGAAGATTTTAGAAGAAGATTTAAAAAAAGATACAAAAGAAGAAAGAGAAACCAAGAATTGTTAACGCGATAAAACCAAAACGTAATGTATGCTCGATTGTGAGTGAATGTTTTTGTTTAATCTGTTCGTGAAGCTGTAGTATGATGGTATTGCTAACTTGATCATATGTGACCCCATTTACGATGAGTGTATCACGACAAGGAACTTTCAAAAAACACTGTCTCCAGCACCTTTGTTTGAGAGGTCCGCGTGTGAGATATGCTAAAGCAACTGAAACTAGTTAGCCCCGAGAGCCAAAGGCGGGAGGCCGCTTCGAGTGTGGCGAAGAGAGTTTCGCGCGGCCTCTGCCGGGGGCCTTGGCGGGCGCGGCGGCGGCGGCGGCGGCCGTGGAGGTGGCGTGGAGCGGCGCTCGCAGCAGCTCAGTGCAGCGGCGGCGGCCACGCGGGCCGTGCGTCCCCACCCGCGCCCGCCATGCACGCCTTCGCGGCGCCGGTTGTGCTGCTGTGCTGGGCGGCGCTGTGCGCGGGCGAAGGCAAGGGCGAGGGCGAGGGCGGCAGCTTGCTGGTGACCAAGTGCTGCGACCAGTTCACCTACCTGGACCTCGCCAAGAAAGTGTGCCTTGAGAGCCCGGAATCGCAAGAGGACGCAGCGACGCTGTTTGGGCCGCCCTTGTGGGCACCGGAGTGGCTGCGCGGGGAGCCCGACCTGCAGGTGAAGTACTACGGCATCCCCTGGCACGAGCGAGAGCTGCCAGCGGCGTGGCTGGACGCGGAGGAGCCGCTGGGGCGCCGCCTGCTCGCCGTGGACGCTGACGCGCGCCGCTTCGTGTTGGAGCCCTTCGGCGGCGCCGTGGACGCGCGCTCGGTGGCCTACCAGCTGGTGAGCACAGATTTTTTTTCCGTATCCATACGAATCGAGTCCGACGTCGCAAGATCGGTGAACAAAAGACAAGAATGACGGGCGACAACGAGGTCATTTTTTCTTTGTTCAAATGAGAATCGCTCCTTTTAATTGACTAAAATAGTAAATTGGGGTGAAATGCTTTGGAAATTGCGCTTTGGACAGAATTAAGGAAGATATTAGTCGCTTCGGCTGAAAGACGGACCCTCGTTAAGAACTTCGACACTCGTAGCAAAGCGTCAAGAAGTCTTTGAAAAAAAAAGTCGGCCGAAATGTAGTATATGGTACAACCTAAGGAAATCGTTTAAACCGGCACTTCGCGCCGTTCCAGCTTTAAATAGACTATTAGCATTCTGGGGTCTTTCTTGAAAAGTGATGTCTTATAAAAGTTAATTGTTAATTATGCGTGGGATAGACTCAAGGACGTTTATAGTGGACGCGAGGGCCGAAGGCCCGAGCCTTGCCGTGACTTAGATCCGGGCGAGCGAAGCGAGAAAACTTGCCTTTGAAAGTAAATTGGCGTTACATCGCGGCGGGGACAAAGCATATGAAGGGCGAACCATGAAAATCGCCTATTCGTAAGTTTTATTCATTTCTATTAGAGCACGTACAGTAGCTTCTCTAAGGGTGTACTGTATACTAAAGTTTAACCAAAAAGTCCTGTGGAATAAAATGCTTTGATGATATGTGTTGGACAGACTCAAGGATGTTTTATGATAATCCCATAGGTCACAAACAGGAACCTCGTCATGAACTTGGACTCACGTAGTTGAGCGTCAAACTTTGAGGTTTTTAAACACAACGCCACTCCACTCGCGAATGCGAGTTGTCGTTTGCCAAGATCTCGAGAAGGTGAGCCGATGCCTTTACGTTCGGTATGACATAGGAGAAGAGTCACAAGTTCTAATACAAGACAAACTAAAACAGACTAATTGGTGTTGACTGCATGCACTTGAAGTATTCTCACCAATTTCCGCTATTATTATTATTATTATTATTATTATTATTATTATTATTATTATTATTATTATTATTATTATTATTATTATCTCGATACTGGAGAATCAGTAATAGCTCAGTATGAATTTATAACACTTAGTACATGTTCATCATCTTGGGATTAACTGCACAGTCTGTACCCATAGAAACAGTAATGTTTTGGTGTTTCGGTGTCGATTAGCTTGGGAGAAAGCACTTTCACATTTCTGCAGTAGGCGATCGTATTGACAAAAATGATTTTTTCTTCTACTTCAGTTAACTCTAAAATATTGTTTTCAGAATATAAATGTGAATTTAAACGAGTAATTTTCTTTCAATCAACAAAGTGTGCATGATATGTAAAAGACGTATTATTTAATTTTAAATAGTTTACTTAAACAATTGTTTCTGTATCGATACGTAGGGAGGCGATGCTCTGCTTTCCTCTTGGTACTAATGTCAAATATCGTATCGCGACTACTCAAGGTATATAAATCCCTAATAAGACCCATAATTACATATGCCGGTGTCATATGGATAAATGCCACCACAACAAATATCTAAATATTTCGAATAATCCAAAATTAATTCCTTAGAACCGTGGTTTATAATGAGCATTCAACTGCAAAAGTAATTCATCTCAAAATCATTAGAATATCAGATCACATGCTTTGCAACGAACTATTCGAGCACTTACCTCGCACAAGACCTACCCAGAGAACCAGAATTCACAACAAACACCGTTCCAAATAAAACTGATCGTCCTAGAACCTGTTCGAGGAATCATGGTAGGCCCTCTCCTCTAATGTTTAATATGCAAGTTTAAAATAAGCTGGTAATCAATACATTGTGACGTTTAAATAATAGTAAGACTATATGTACGATGTGTTTTTTTATTGGCTAGACAACAGATACACAATAATCTACACACATAAGAATGGAAAGGTATCTCTTACATATGTATTATTATCCATTATTTAAAACAACTTTTTGACAACTTATTTATGATGTCATCTTAAACAACGTAAAAATTTTAAATAATGTTTAAGAATGAATATGTAATCGTTACCTTTTCAATTCTTATTCATGTTGATTATTATACACCTCTCATCTAGGTAATCAAACAAGGGGACCGTGTATTACCAAAGGTAATATTGCACTGTAAGAATTGTGATTCAATTTAATGTATTGATGTGTGGTATAATGAAATTGAATGAACCATTTACATGAAAATAAGTTAAAATGTTTGTGCATTACATTTAATTATTAAAATCGATGTTGATTCCATGTAGAATGTCTCCCGTTTCTCCCTCTTTAATGCGCCTCATCATCATTCATATGATACATTCATAATCCCCAGACCATAAAGATCACTTATTCATTCAATGTATGAAGCTTTGACTCATGCATGTTATAAGATATGTGCATTACATGTAATGTACGCTGGTGATAATTATTTTAATGTAATTTACATCAAAGCAGGCAGCGCAGAGATTCCTGACAGTGTGGCTACAAGAGAGTGCTTAAGTTTAAGTGCTGCCTGAGTATTTCCCTGCAGAGATGAAAAAACCAAACCCCAACTGTGTGGTAGGTGTGCTTCGACGCGACGCGCGACCCGCGCCGCCCGTTCGTCGCCGCCACCTGGCTGCTGGGCGTGGCGCTGCGCAAGTGCTGCGCCAAGGGGGCGCTGCTGGACCGCGGCCTGCAGTGCTCCCCGCCGAGCGAGCCGTCCGCGGACCCCGAGTGGCCGGTGGACTTCCATCAGCCGCTGAGCGCCCTCGCGTGGGCGCCCGCGCCGCTCCGCCGCGCCGTGCCGACGGCCGACGTCTACTACGACGTGAAGCGCGAGCTGCCGGGCGTGGAGGGCGCGGTCGTGGACGCAGACGACCCCGACGCCTGGGAGTTGCTGTTCCCGCGGCGGAGTGACGACTGGCTCCAGGCGGTTAGGGTGCGCGCAGGTGAGGACAGCGATTGGTTTCGGAAACGAATAGGTATAGAACGCACACCGACGCCGTGAGATCGGAGCAATCGAAATGAGAACACGCGTGGTTCATTGATTCGTTAGTGATTCCGGGTCGTTTGCATCGTAAATGCACTGCTTGTTTTATCCCGGGAGGTGGCGGGGATATTCCCCCGCTGGCTGGCGAGATCCGGGTCTGACCTATGCGGCGGGTGTGAGGGGCTTTTCCCTATCCCGGTATCTCCCACCTGCAGGGCACAACCCGACTGAGCCAAGCTCTAAACTCTCGACCGATCTCGCGGCATGTGTGTTAATGAAGTGCATGTAAGTTTAAGTGTATGTAACTAAGGGATGAGAATAAGACAAGGACGACGAAGAGAAATCGCGAGTGGTCCGTTTGTAGCCCGTGTGTCAGGGTGTTGCTCAAGCGTTCATCTGGAATGGATCAGAGAAGCCACGAAAACGATGAGAGCACTAGGCCGCTAGAATTCTCCTCCAAACACTGACGGAATTCGACCAAACTGACAAAGCTAGTATCGAAAATCTTACCACAGACGGGGTTCGAAACCTAGGGCCTCCGGTTAGGGGTGATATCAGTTGATGCTCTGACTCACTTTTGCTGGTAGAGCTCGCGGGAACGAGGTTAAACATTCAGTAGCAAGGATGTTAATTTCCTTTCGAGTGTTAATTTCCTGACAATGCCTACGTGAAATACGAACGTACCCTTAATTAAAAGTGCATTTGAGTACGTTTCATTGCGTTGCGTTGCAAGAGTTCTTCGAGTGAATATATGGAATTCGGTTCAAAATCGAACATTTATGGGAGAAATTTAAACTCTTTGTTTATATATTCTTTGCATTTTTTACATATATTCTACAAATTAATTCGACATGTGTTAATTAATAATAATTCATGTTCTTTGAATAGGTATAAGCTATTAAAATTATACATTTGGAACGTATTAAACTTTCAATTTCAAGTTTTATACCTTCACTTTTCCTCCGAAATATCTTATTATGAAAATATAGTTTCAATCTTTTTCTAAGATGAAAATAATTCAGGATTATGAAATCATTAGTTTCTTTGAAAAGACCTTGTTTTGGAGCGCATTCGCCCTACCGTGAGTACCACGCTGTTGGACCGGTCTCGCTCCCCCCCTCCCAGACAAAATCGCCGAGAAAGCTCGCAATGAAACCGAACATAAAGTGTCTGGGCAGCATCTGAAGCTCTATGCACAGTTGAGAGTTTTATTTGAAAACGATGGACTCCTGGTTATATATATTATATTAATATATATAATAATATATATATATATATATATATATATATATATATATATATATGTTAAAATAAATATTTATAATATTAAAACATTTTATTTTATTTTACCACTACGATCATGAACCATAGGAAACGGGGCAAATAATTTTGAACTTCACAGAGGATAATTTCGTCCAATGATTTTAGGCGTTAGAACAGGTTTAAAACGTGCCTCCTAACTAGACAGCTAAAGTGCTTTCTAAATATAAACATACGGGGTCTAAAATATTTGTAGCAAATAAAACTATATTTGTACATCTGGATATTGGTAGTAAAAATGAGCCTTAATCAAAGGGAATTTATTAAATAATGGACCGTTATGAAAGAGTTTTAGATAACATTAAATTACAAATAAAACACTACGAAGGTACCTCTCCACTCCCAGTGCCTACTCGTCGTGACAAGTAGGTCAAGAGGTCGTAGGCTTCCGTGGCCGGAGTCTTGGGTTGCCGACGCTTCGACCATCTTATCTTGGTCTTCCTGCCGGTAGACCAACGTTGAGGAAGACCACGATAAGAATGTCGGCAACACAGCCTTCGACGCGGCGTCACCCAGACAGCCAAGACCATTAACTAGGTCAAGAGTAAATGAAGTTGTTGCCTTTCACGGCCAGAGTCGTCTAAATGATCTGGGCTGTCCGGATGACGCCGCGCGTAAGGTTGTGTTGCCGACGTTTCGACCATCTCATCGTGGTCTTCTTCAGGGCTGGTCTGCGCCGGGCTGGTCAGCGCTCGCGTGTATATATGGGTGGGGCCGGGTACGATTGGCTGGCTCTTTCAGCCAATCGTAACCGGCCCCACCCATATATACACGATTCGACGCGGCGTCACCCGGCCAAAATAATTTATAGGTCAAGAGTAAATACATTGTTGCTTCATTGACCGTGGGTCTATAGTTTAATATTTTGAAATGTATGTCATAAAACTATAATTAGAGGTAGTTTTATTTGGTGTTTTTAAAAATCAATTACTTTACTTCAAAAAAATTAAATATATTTTAAATTTGACTTTAAAGTAATTTGTCAAAATATCAAATGAATTTAAATTTAATTACTATTAAAATGGTTTATAATTCGACAATCCGTATTAAAGATTATTATAAATTATTATATTACTACAAATTTTATATATCGAATCACCAGATGTCGTGTATCTGTTCAGGCTTTTAAAAATATTCGTATCTTCGAAATTATGAGGGCACAGCCGGCTCAATTTCTAATATTACAAGCTTGCTACATTTTTCATCGATAGCAGGACGCACATGCGGTCCCATAAATGGACCAAGTTTCTGGAAGAGATGTCACAGGCCGCAGGGTTGCCTCACGAGACGAGCTTATAGCAGGGAATTGCCCATTCCGTGCCGATTGATTTATTAATTATTTCGTGTTTCCGGACTTGTCAACTGCTATAGTTATTGCTCCCGTAAGTGTAGTACAGGCTGTCACGGGAGGTGCGTTATCCCCCACTGGATGGTGAGATCCGACGCCGTTCGACACGTCGGGCAACGAGGTTTTCTTCATTCAGATATCTCCCACTGCACTGCCCCAACCGGGACTAGTTCTAAGCTTCTGTCTGGCCTCCTGACGTGTGTGGTTGTGTAGAAAATGTAAGTGTAAGTGTATGTGCGTAAAGGGTGAGGATAAGACAAGGAAGAGGAAGGGAAAATTAAGCGCGGTCCGTGGCCCATTTGTTGCGGTACTGGTCCGGTATTCGCCTGGTAATGATCGGAGAAACCATGAAAAATGCCAATCAGTGCTAGAAGTTTCTTCCAAGCAGCCAGTGAATACAAATTAGCTCTCTGGCTGGAGTCGAAAATCCGGTTGTCATCGGGACTCCAATCCTACGATCTACCGGCCAAATGAACTGCAATGATCAGTTTATATCCTGAGATACCTCAAACGGTGAACCTTTATCGAGATGCAGAAACTAAAAAAATATGTTATTGATAGTCTGGTCAGCTCATAAATTCTGTTGAATAAAGGGTTTCGATTGCCGAAAAAAATAGTTAAAATTTGTAACGTGCTTATGATGCAAAACATATCTGCAGGTCGAAAACTGCAGATATTTCGAAGACCGTGTCACGAAGCGAAGATAATCAAGGAGTTGCAAATATCTGCTTGTCCAAGACAGCAGAACTGCTGAAGGCCGCGATGTCCTATAAAAACGAATTTGAAGGCGCCGGGTTCGTTGGTAATTCTTATATGCTCTCGTAGGCAGCGGTCAAACAGTGGCGTACAACAGAGAGGACTGGGTTTGGGACAGAGGTTACTCGCCGTCCTACAGGATTCCGGCGGGCGCCCGGACTGACTCATGGTGTGGACTGTGGTAGGCTTTGCAGGTGGTGTGAATCAGGCTGCCATTGCCCCGTAAGTGTAGTGCATGTTTCTCCGAGGAAAAAGGCGGGATTTTCTTCCGCTGGGTGGCCAGATCCAGCGCCGACTTTCGACGCCTTGCGCGGATTTTCCCCAACAAGGTATCTCCCATCAGCGGGGCAACGTCCATCTAAGCTCACAACCGTCTCCTAGCATGTGTGGCAGTGCAGTGCATGTCAGTGCAAGTGTAAGGAAGGGGTTCGATAGGACAAGGAAGAAGGTAAGATATCGCGCGGTTCGTGTCCCGTTTGTTAGGGTTAATCAGAGAAATCACGGAAAACTACCGATCAGAACCGCCGGCCGCTAGAATTCTCCTCTTGACAGCGACTGAACTCGACCAAGCTATCTAGTTAGTGTTGAAAATCCTGTCACCGTCGGGACTCGACATTAGTTGCTGCCCTGAGCCACCTCTTCCGGTGTTGAGGTTGCTTACGTGATCAGTCGTTTGGTGCGGAGTGAACGCGTCACGCTGCTTGCAATATCATTCTGTGGCGTAGACGGAACAGTTGTCATAAAAAAATGTGGGAAATAATTTGCCTTTACGAGTTGTTTACGAGTCGAGGATTGGAAAAGGGCGTTTGCAACATTCAGGAAAGCTATGATAGAGAGAGAGAGAGCGAGAGAGAGAGAGAGAGAGCGAGAGAGAGAGAGAGGGGGGGAGGGACGGAGAGAAGGAGAGGGAGGGAGAGAAGGAGAGCGCCATTGTTTAAATCCAAACTAGACGATAAAGTTGAATCGTGATAAGAATGTAAGTGAAGTAGATGCTTTTCGTTATGATCGTGGTTGATTGTCCAGAGTTGCTCCCAATGTTGGGTACGTATCTACATGCATGGCGAACAATAGAGACGTAAAACGTATGTGTGTGGTACCAGGATCTGAATGATGAAATGACGTAGAATATGTAACAACTGTAGATGAGTGTGGACAGTTTATATGGTTAAAGTACTGTAAGTACAATGTGAAGGTGGATATTGAATTGACTTGAAGTGATGCCTTATATCACGTGGCGAGACTGCGGCCATGAGGCCTGTTCTTCCGTCTGACCACGCAAATTTCGCGGCGCTCGTTTCCTCAACTAGCGAAAGAAGATGGTTTTACTTAGGCGACGAAACAAGCAATATGAATTTAGCCCAGGGGCTTCCTTTAGGCTTGAGGATCTTGTACATGCAGTAAGTTTACTAACATGGGACAGCCGGATTTACTTCCCTTCCGAAGGAAGGCGTACGAAGGATTTTTGCGCTCTTAAAAATCCACGGCTTCGAGCTGGTTTGAAACCGCGAACTTGGGTTTAACAGTCCTATACGCTAACCATTGCACGAACGTCGTCGGTATTAGGTGCTTTCAGTGACTTTACGCTTAAAAGCGTTTATTTAGAGTGTAAATGATTTATCTAAAATTATCCCCATCGGATTACATGAGCCGACCATTAACCAAGTCATTTAACCCACTGCGAATCAATTCGTAATTAATTAAACGGGTGGGGTGACATGTATTTCAAATAAATAATGAAAACCAAAGTGACAACAAAAATACGACTCTAAAAAAATATAACACCTGCTAATTCATGATTAAATTAGGGTTCCATTTCGCATAAAATGCCCTATTTCACGAAACGCAACAGGATATCTCCTGAAATGGATTTCTCTTTTATACAATACTTTTTATATATGTAAAACTTGCTTATTTATATTATAGCTATAAATAATTATATAATTATATTGAATTTAATTAACATTTACACGTTTTTATATTAATCTGTTGTATTATTTTGTTAAATACATTTAAATCTCACTGTATCATCATATGACACTCCATCTGGGTCCTTTAGAAGTATAGTTCGATTGATCATGAGATAGATGAATGATTCGGGAATTCTAATTTGCTTTGTATTCATCAAAAACTTACATGAGAAGGTAATTAGCCTCGAATATAATGTTTCGATATAACATAAATATAAAATCATAAGGAAATATTTAGTTGCATGTTCGTAAGTTATTAAGTCTTTCGAAAGTAATTTAAGTAAGTTCGTGAGTCATTCTCATAAGTTTCCTGTTGAATTTTTACACATCCTGATTCCGCACAATCAGAGCGTGATCGGTGACTCCTGCATCGACGATTGGGCGACATCCTTGTGACTGCTGTGCGCCTGTTGCAAGCGGGAGTAGCGGGATAGGTAGAAACACTATGGGATGAGTCAATGCGAATGAGGAAACACTTCACCACTTCCATTTCCGCAATTCTATGAACAAATGTTTCTAACATCCTTTCTCAGAGAAAGCGGGGTTTGTGTGCAGTATTTCCTTGACGATTTACCTTCTAAAACGTGCATAAGATTATGCTTATAAAGGCAAAGTTTTATGGATATTTCTAAGTATTGTGGACGAAGAAAAAATAAACTACTTTTTATACAAACAACGAAAACTGGCGGGCGTAAAGGTAAAATTATGGTACTCGTGTGATTAGCACATGGTCCTTCATTTGCGCCGCTGTTTTAGGAAGACAGTATCTTTGCCAGCCGGCCGTCAGAATTTCAATGCATTCACTGAACGCAAATAGTGCATATGACCTCCATAGTTTAAAAATGCAGATCATGACTTCGATATGCTCATAAAATTGTGGCAAAACTGTGACGACTTGACGACTGTTATGCTTATGTGTATATATATATATATATATATATATATATATATATATATATATAGAGAGAGAGAGAGAGAGAGAGAGAGAGAGATATCCAATAATCGAAAGCTTAATGCATTACTTATTTTTTGCGGAACCATTGTTGTATTCCAATCTGATTTTACTTGAAAACTACCAATTTTCATTTCATATGTTTTAAATAGGTTTTAAATAATAAAGAATACTTTGTAAATATATAACAAAGCTTGGATGTAAGAAATGAACAAAGAAATATGAAATAATATTAGCATTCTAACTTAAGAAGCCGCACACGATGCGCAGTAAATTCGGAGCTGGCGACTATTTGTCGCCAAATTACCCCAAAAAATCATATTAAAAAAAACTCAAAATGACCTTATTTGAAGATCTGTTTGTGGTCAACACTTTTCATTAAGAAAAAATGTAGCTTCTAAATTGCAGTTGTAAGAAGACGCCGAAAAAATTTAAACAAAAATCAGGCTTTTTGACGAACATGAGACCTGCATCATTCTCTTAAGCGTTCTTTATGATACCTAAGGTCTAAATTTAATTACAAAATTGTGACATTAAGAAAAAAACGTTTTAAAGTAAATAATAGTTGCGTAAGTTAGACACAAAATTTTGCAAAAATACAAATGCTTATGAAAAATTGAGTATGGGCGTAGGGGAAATAATAAAATATTCTTAATTGAATGTAAATGGCGAGCCAATGCCAAATTTGTGGCCAAATGCCTAAATAAAATGACTTCTCCTCTTCATGGCAACAGAATTGTGCATGTCACAATTGTAGTACAAATATTTTTATGACCATAAAGGAAACATTTGATCACTCAAGGAATATGTGTACTATCTCTTCTGGTTTTCCGGTATATCAGAAATGCATTTCTTTTTGACATTGTTTGCCTGTTGAATATTTTCTCCTGAGAACTGGAGATAATTAGGAATAATAATTCACAATCTAGAAACTTTTTGAGTTGACGTTTTTACAGTAAATTTCTTCTTCTTCTCTGCTGTTTGTACCATTTACATGCATATATAAAGAAGTGAAAGTAGCCACCCAGATTTTTCTTTTTGCTTCTCCATCAGCTCATGGTCAACATCACTTTATATGTGACTCTGTCCACTTATTATGGATTTATTGTCTCTCGCCGTTCTGAATACCCATCTTTTATTATTTGAGCCTTATTTATTGTTGTTATTATTTTCATTGATTTGATCGTCTGTAAATCATTTAATTTTTAAAATAATATTGTTGTAAATATTTATGAATAAAATGTTTAAAAAAAGAAATATCGAGGGTAACAATGACCAATTGTGGTGTATTGGTTTTTACAGAGAAAATATTTACTAACTGACGTACAAATAATTGCTTTACTTAAATTTTATTAGTACATTAATAAACGAGGTAACAATATTATGATACTCACTTTCCTTTTTCAAGGAACAAAGCGAGAAGTATTGCTGACATTCACAAAGACAATATTGTACTAAACAATGGACTATGGAGCAATTAAACATGCAATATAAATAATAATAGTTATTGTAGGGAAAGTCAGTATCAGTTAATTAATATACTATCAATATCAACTGATGTCACTGCAGGTTTTTTGGCCGGAAGGTATTAGGTTTGAGTCCCGACGGGGGCAGGATATTTGACACCAGCGAGATAGCTAGGTCAAGTTCTGTTGCTGTCTGGAGGAGAATTCTAGCGGCTGGCTGCTCTGATCCGGAAATTCCTGTGATTTCTCCGATCAACTTTACCCGAGCAGTAGTAATACCAAACAACCCACGGATCGCGCGCGATCGTTCCTTCCTCTTCTTTGTCATATCCTCACCCCTTACACACATTTACACTCACTTCACTAGCAGACTCGTTAAGAGACCGATCGGGAGCTTATAGCTTGTCCCGGTTGGGGCCGTGTTTCGCTGGTGGGAGATACCTGGTTGGGGAAAATCCCGCCATGCAGCGAGAGGAGACGGCCGCGACTTGCACTACACGTACGGGACTAAGGCCCTTAGCGGTTGACGTGCGACCTGTATGCGCAGGTGACGGGCCGGCGGGCGCCAGTAACGCGTACTGCTTCGACGCGACCGAGGCGGGCTCGGGGCTGCCGGCGCGCGTGCTGCTGGCGCGGGTGGCGCTCGTGAGCAAGTGCTGCCCGCGCGGCCAGCAGCTGGGCGCGCGCGAGATGCAGTGCGTTGCGCGCCCGGGCATGCAGACGGACGCGCGGCTCGCTGAGCAGCTGGCGCCCGGCGACCCGTCGGCCTACTGGCTGCCCCCGGCGCTGGCCGCCGGGAACCGGTCGCTGGCCGTGCGCTACCGCGTCGACTGGGGCGAGTGGTACGCGCGGCTCATATTCCCGGCCGAGAGCGCGCGGATTGTGGGCTTCCCCGACCGCCCGGCCGCCGCGTGTGTGCGCCTGCGCCAAGCGTCCGGCCGCGAGCACGTGGCGTGCACCAGCGACTTCTGCTTCGACGCGCTGGCCGGCGGCGGGCCGGCGCCCAGGGTGCTCGCCGTCGACAGGTTCGAGCGCGCCTCCGTCATCACCGTGACCAAGTGCTGCCACCAGGGCCAGATGCTGCACGAAGATCCGGACTCGCTCATCCGCTGCCAGCAGGACCCCTGGGGCGACTGGACCCCCGAGAACTCCTCGCTGGCCGACGAGCTGTACGCCGAGCGCATTTACATGGCGCAGCCGCTCATCGAGTGCCTGGACCAGGCGTTCACGCTGGTGGAGGAGCGGCCGGCGCGCGAGCTGGACAAGCTGCTGGGCTGGGCCTACGAGGGCCGCTTCCGAGTGCGCTTCTACTGCAAGGACCTCCTGCGCCGGCGCGACGGGGCGCCTCCCCAAGACGCCCTGGCCTTCTGCGAGCTGCCGTCCGACTCGGATCTCTTCGAACAGGTGCGTCGAGGTTCCTACCGACAAAATGAATCATGCCATTTATCAATGTAACGATCGAAATTGATATAGCTACTTATCGATGTCGATCGAGTGATGCTGCATTGTATTAAATTATCAAATTTCCAACCCAATGTAGAGAACAAGCTTTTAAAATGCAAACAATTGACACAATGAAGTTCTACATATTATCAATAAATAATTGCTCTGCCGTTTTGGTTTCACAACTGATACACTGACGCAAAGTGTATGGAACGGGTGGTGTGTGCAGGTGCGGCCGCTGCAGGTAGTCATAATCGTCCTGGGACGCAAATGCATGTCCCAGGCAGCGAAAGTGTCAATGTCTATGCCCTGAGGCAAAGTGTATAGAACGGGTGGTGTGTGCAGGTGCGGCCGCTGCACGTTGTGGCGGCGGCGCTGCTGGCGGTGGCGGTGGTCGCCGTCGTGACCCAGCGCCCTCTACGCAGCACCACGCACGGGCGCGCGCTCGCCTGCCACGCCGCCTGCCTCATGGCCTCCAACGCCCTGCAGGCCGCCTGGTTCTTCACGCACGTCAGACGCAAGGGCTGCGATGGCTTCGGTGAGGTTCGGATTTGCATTTACTGAACTGATAATTAGATACTATCGGAACCAGTGGTGGCGGGCATCGGTGGAGTCGGATCGATGGAGTCGGATCGATGGAGTCGGATCGATGGAGTCGGATCGATGGAGTCGGATCGATGGAGTTGGATCGGTGGAGTCGGATCGGTGGAGTCGGATCCGTGGAGTCGGGTCGGTGGAGTCGGATCGGTGGAGTCGGGTCGGTGGAGTCGGGTCGGTGGAGTCGGGTCGGTGGAGATTTCGGGCTTGAGGGGACCTCTCCTAGATTTCCTCGCGGGATCACCTTTTAAGAAGACCCGCACTGACGTTTCTCGTATTATTTCCTGGTAATTTTGATACATCCAGCTACGTGCCACAATATGACAAAATGACTTTTTGGTTTTCCGTTATTGAACTCGTTTCATTCCACTCGGGCTCTTTTTCGTTCATTTGATGGATTAAGAGATATGCAGTGGCTTCAAAGCTTCGAAACACGAATAATTTTTTGCAGAATGTGTCTATCTGATGCTGATGCAATACTTTAATGCTTCCCGAATGTAAACATAATGATATCGAGAGTCTCCCCATACTATAAATTATACTTTCAATATATTTTCATCCGTTGTTGATGATGTTGACTTGCCGGTTTTCATCTTTTGCATTAAGATGATTTCCCTCTCGGACTTGGCAAATCAAGGATAGGCAGTACCTTGTGAAGGGCAATGATTTATTTCTTTTTTCTCTCTCTCTTTATTCCTTTTTTCTTTCTATCGCTTATTAGTAATAATTCATCGACTAATTATACTCGCATATATATGTTCAGATAGAGACCGACATCACGAATTATTTTGACTAAATACCTTGTTATTTCGCCACAATTTTTATTCTCCAGTCGGTATCAACTCAGTGCAAGATCTACTAGTAAGATTAATTCCTAGATGTTTACCTCCGATAATTCTCTTGGACAAAAAATATTATCTGGTGTTGAACCAAGATCTTCTTTGTTTAAAGTATGATTTAATAAAAACAGATCTTCAACACACTCACAAACTTCTCTTTGAAACTTCGCTGTACATTAAATAAGGTGGCATAGTAACGATTAAAAATGAAGTGATATCAGGTGATGCCTGAGCCACCTCTCCCGGTCAATAAAGCATGAAAATGTGCAAGAGACTTTCAGATTAATGAAATTCTGCGTGAGACGCTATAACGCGTCTTGTTTTCGGTATAGTCATATTTCTGCGTGATATTATCAGCCTGCATTTTACATAAAACCTTATTACCACATCGGTAAAAAACATTATTTGTTAAAACATTAATATTGTGATGGATCATCTTGCAGTTTGATAACAATCCATTAAAAAAGCGTAATAAAATAATATATCACGAAAGCAAAAATTGATGTCAATATTAACAAATTAATGAAAATATAAATGAAGAAGGTATAATGAGAAGTAAATATAATAAAACAACGTTAATTTTAGTATTAATTTGTAATGGTATTGTGAGAAATTTCCGTTGATAATATACAAAAATTTGTAACACGATCTGACACCTCGGTTAGAAATACCTCTCTTTTACTTTCCCATAATTCTGCGGAAAATCGATTTCTAGATTTGGACGCAAATACACGTTTTGGGGTCTCGTGATACCGAAAAAGATTTTCTCTTCAAAAGGTCCGTCTGTCCGTCTGTCCGTCTGTCCGTCTGTCCGTCTGTCCGTCTGTCCGTCTGTCCGTCTGTCCGTCTGTGCGTGTGTGCGTCTGTGCGTGTGTGCGTGTGTGCGTCTGTGTGTGTGTGCGTCTGTGCGTCTGTCCGACTGTCCGTGAACACTATTATTGCCTAAACCATACGTAGGGGTTTTTTAAATTGAAGAATACCGTGTCGACCTGGCTCATCAAATCTTTGAGATTTTGTAACAAATTCTTTAAAATTTGGTGTACTTTACATGATGCTCCCCAAACATATTGACAATTTCCTCAGAAACGGCTCCAAAATTTATCTTTAAATTTCTTGTAAGAATAGAGTAACATAGGCTTCTAAAGGTGGCAAAGATCCCATTTTCACGGTTAACTCTGAATTTTCCAAAATGTCATAATATACATTTTTCCCTGTCTTTCCACAACTACAAAATTGAAGGTAGAGAATTTTCCCTTAAACATAATTTGTTCTCTATAGTGAGTTCTTTCAATAAGGTCAAATATATTTCTTTAAAATTTTTGTAGTGTTTGCGCAATATTGCGTGCAACATGTACAATTTAAAAAAAATTCAAACACAAGATTTTCTGAAATGGCTAAATTTTACTTATCGTTTGGAAGGTGCAGTTCTAAATGCACTCCATAAGGTGACATAAACGTCGTATTGCTCTGTTCTTTTGTTTTTTACGAACATACAATTTTAGACAAAAATATAATTTTTTGACTTTCATGTCGTTAATATTTATACTACCAGCAATTACATTATTGTGTTTATGAGTACATGTGCTTTAAATAATGTCATATAAGGTTTCTCGAAAACTCTACAGGTGTCTGTGAAAAGTATTTCAAATTTCCGCATTTTCAAAAAACGTTCAAACGCCATTTTCACAAAAACGGTTCCATATATTGTCTTCAAACATTTTGAACGGTTAGTGGTATTTGCACTCTTTAATATGATATAAAGTCCTTTTCGGGGTATTTTTTGTGTTTTTTCAAAAAATACACAAATGTAAATTTTTTGAAAGATCTCACACTTCGTTGATATGCATATTTTTGGCAATGTGTAAACAGTATTGTATTATATTTCAACTAACTCAATATTTCAAATAACTCAAACGTTTTCTGTGAAAAAGAGCTTCAAATTTTGAATTTACAGTTGCGCTTAAACGCCGTTTTTTTAAAAAATCGCTCGAAATTTTTCAATGAAAATTGCCATTTAGGACTAGATTTTACTGTTCTTTAATTATCTTAAAATAATATTTTAGCTCTGGAATTTCGAAACCGAAAAATTAGGAATATGTGAAAAAAATGTACTTTCGGCGACGATAGATGACAGCTCACAAGATTATGTAGCGGGTTCGAATAGCTAACGTAGACCAAAGGTAATAGAAAACTAATAGTCTGTGACATTCTGTAGCACCACTAGTTTTATATTTTTTAGGTTAGGTCAAAAACCTTACGTAATGGAGTAAAACGGACACCAGATTCGGATTTGACGACCCCAAAAACATGGACAACACGGTCTGAAGTCCGGACACTCACGCATTTTTTGTGCCTGTGTTATTACAGATTAATTGGGAATGGAGATTTAATATTTTGAAAAGATCAACTCGTATCTTTTTGCAGCGTACGCCATCTACTACTTCTTGATGGCTGGCGCCTTCTGGTTGAACGTCATCTCCGTCAACATGGCACGAGGCTTCAGGTGAGCAAGCTCAAACAAGTTTTTAAACAGAAACTTTCAATTGTCTTACGCCTCACAATATGGACGTCCCATTTGGTTTTGGAATGTCTCTCTGTACCTCTATTCCTCACATCTACCCCCTTTCCTCTGCGTTTCTCCATCTCTTCCCCATTCCACCTTTGCCCCCTTTTCCTCTACCTCTCTCTAGATCACTCTCTCTCTCTTTCTGTCTGTCTCTCAGAGTTCCTTTAAATTAAGTCAGCCTTCATGCTGCTGGTTACAAGTATTTTTCGAAAGTGCATTCCCGTCTGAAATATACGATAAAAAACGGCGGAAACATATGCAATGCTCGTAGAACCCAGACTTTAATATGTGAGAAAAACCGTGCTGCTACGACAGCTCATACTTTCTCGCATTATTCGTAACTTTTGAAATTTAGAAAGACTCAGAGAGACCAACGATAATCGGACCTGCGCTATTAATAAGGTACTTCTCATTACTCGAGAATAAAGTAAGGAAAATTTCAAGCTTTTTGGGGTAAATATTTTCATAAAATTGCCTTCATTTATTGGAAAATTATGCGAAAACTGCTGATATTTTGAAAAAATTAAACATGATGTTATTTAATGATTTAATTTCTAATTTTAAGGTTTTGCAATTTTCATAAATTTAGAGAGTTTAAAAAAATCCGACCTACCTCATTTTTTATAAACGTCCTTTGATTTATCTAAAAATTGAAACATTTTCTGATAATATTTTGAAAATGTCGTTTACGTTTCATAAAAATTACCACCAAGAATCCGCTTGAAGTAAAGAGGGCAGACGCTTAACGCTCGATTGAACAGGAAATACCAATTATGGTAAAAAATATACTTATAAATTAGTTCTAAAGGTTAGAGAACAGGAGTTTCAGAATTCTAGAGAGAAGATTAATGTGAAGATGTTTTTATAAAAATTATGATGTAAGATAATTTCAACAGAAAAGAAATGTGTTTTTATGTGAACTATTTTAACAGTGTTCTGTAACAAAGCACGGCGCGTATATTAGAGATTGATAAAGAATGGATGCCGCCGGAATCTTTGGAATTGAATGAGGAAAGTGTGAACTTTTAGTCAAAGGACTATGTTCCTTTATTAAAATTATTTTGTGGATTTTCTTGTTTCAAGAAGATAAAATGTTTAATTGGAAAAAAATTACTTAGAAACCTGAATATTAATCATTTAAGCACCAGGTCTTAAATATTACAATAGGGTGTAAATATATTAGATTGAAAATAGTGTAATTATAATATTCCTTAAACCTGTGTATAATTGTGTTAAAATTTTTGAATGGTGATATCTATGTGTATTAATGTTTGAACAATGAATGAGTTCATTGGAACTTGTATTTTTTACTGAAGTTTACATTCACGATATTTCTTCAGAATATAACGTCAAGTTGTATATAATTTGCCTCCTCTTTGATTTGATATGTTGCTTTACATCAAATCAAGATCCTCTTCCCGACCTTTTATGCTTTTTTCGAAATGTATTATTCCGTACTTCAATTAAAAAGTACAATTCCTTTCTCCTTTTGAAGATTTAGAATTTCTCGCAAGGGACACTTGCGATCAGACGGGATTCGGTTGCAATGCAGTCTTTGAATCATCTACTTTTTCGACGCCCATTGCAAGAGCATTACGATACTTTCTTAGTACGAAGTCCCCGGAGTGGTGGGGTGACGTCCACTCGGACTCGAGTTACTCGGCGATACTCACGTCGTTAGCTTCCAAGTGGAGGCAGAGAGAAGACAGGTTGGGGCACATGGCATCCTCGTGGCAGGGACCCGATACTCTGGGCCTAGAGAAGGGACTTGGCTCGAGGTATCGTGAGTGGTGGATTAGTTCAACCAGTAGTGCTGAGCTGCAGGGCGGACCGCCCTAGGCATTGAATGGAGACGTTTCCACGTCCGGCGGGGTCCGGAGGCCAGTTGGCTAAAGCGGGTGTGCCGGCCGCGGAGAGTAAGAACAAAGGGAAAAGCCAAGGTGTCTACTCCGGGGATATGACAAAACAAAAGAAGAGCGGGGTAGTAGCTCACGCAGGGTTCACAATGTACTACGTAAGTGGCATGCGAAACTTAATAAACATGCGATTCTCGGGAGCCACTCATCACTGAGCTAATAATCTTACAACTGCCTTGTTTCTTTATGCACGAATCAGTATTTTTTGTCAAAACTGGCTTCATGACGGGGACAATTTTTCCTGTGATGCTGATATTTATAATTGCGGAGACCCTGATAAACCCGGTCGCCTTGTCAGCGAGTTGTGGAAATCCGGTGGACTCGATGAAGGATCGCCTTGAGAGAGACTTGTAAAGGGAGAACCGGATGTGTGCTAATTTTACCATACAAGTTTGAATGATGAAAAATAACGTTTGGGTTTCTAACGTTTAAAAATTTTTAACGTTTGATTTTTTAGCATTTAAAAATATTGAATGCTCCATGCCTGATGTTAACACTTTATGTGATTTGCGCTTATGTTGAACTTTTGGGTCAGTTTTTCATTATTTAGCATCATGTCATGCAATTCTGCTTATTGTTTATTTTGTTGAACCGTTTATTGAACTAATAGTGTACCCCATTTCAGAAAGTTACCGTTTTCTTCCAAGCAATATTTCTTCGCCAACGAGGGGAGCTACCGCTCTCCTAGAGACAATTCTCCGTGAAGAGTTCCCGTACATCACGCTGTGGTAGCCCTTACTTCCATCTTCCCTTCTCGGCCCCGTACCATTACATTTTTAGCAGTGACAGTTCGCGACCCCCATATCGGTGCATGTTAAACACAGATCTCAAACACAGTTGCCGCCTAGTGCAAATGTGTATGAGCACTTTATGGAAAAGCATAATTATAAAGCTACTTTAACATTAAAATCTACCAACATAGCTTTTGTTAATGAGCAAATTCTTGATAATTAAATAACTTGAGTGAAAATACAGACACAATTATTTGCTGATAATATTTAATTAAATTATGATTTGTTTTTTTTACTAAAATATTCATATTGAGGAAAAGGGGTTGAATCGAAATCACGTGTATTTTTTTTATCTTTACTCAAATTGTCGGTCCTTCAATTGAGGAATGTGACTTTGATAAGACTGGGGAACAAAAACAATTTTGACCATACCTCCAGGATGAAAGTAGGAGATTTCAAAGGGAACGATTCACGTTGATTGCTGAAATCATTTTTAAAAGTTTCTATCACGCAAGGTTTACCAGATGCGAACATATTTAGTATATGAAATAAACAAAATCCTATATTCATTTCCGCCTTGTCACCTGCGTTATATTACTACACAATTTTATGAGAATGCTTTATACGAATTAAGAACAAGTTCGAAATGGAATACGCATGTATTGTAACAATATGCAGACATTAAAATGGTTTGTTGCTATTCTCCCGAACATTGGTAGAATGAATGTGATTTGTGTATTCCATACCATCACAACCTAAGGTTCGTTGTAGAGGTGACACAACACTGATAAGCAGCCCATGTCCTGATCACAAACATGACAACCAAAGTATAAGAATGTGCAAGTTGAATTGAATTTGCCTTATTTTACCGTCCGTCTGATGCGTCTGACCACGCAAATTTCTCTACGCTCATACTTTCGGTGCAGTTCCTTCCCACAGCGACAGAAGCTGCTTAAAATCTGCCGCCGAATAGTTGGGTACTTGTATACTTGCGATATGGTAAAGGGATAAAATAATTCCTTTCGGTGTTGCGTAGTAGGAAATATGAGGGCGATCTTGACTTGTTTTCAGAACATCCGATAAGATCTGCGAAGCCACTAAGACCTGGTCGAAGTTCAGCGCGACTTCCAGACGCGAGGACAAATACCGCAGTCGTCGAATACAGAAATTAAAAAAAGCGACGAAAGCCTAATTTTGATGTTATTTCAGATGAACTGTACAAATATTTTAATTTTAAACCGATTTTATATGAATTGATTCTACATATCTTAGAGATGCAGTTTAAATATAAGTGCATTAATATCAAAATACGTTATGAAACGGTATAAAGATACGGTATATTTAAAAACGGTGACGTGATATTCCCCTTTATTGTGATATTAGTAATCTACGTATAAAATTGAGAATATTGTGCTCTCTATCATCCTGAAGGTAAAAATATTTATCTCTAGTGTAATATGTGATAAGATCAAAATTTGTTTTAGAATGGAAATATTCATTAGCAAATACGACGCATTTTTTGAAAAAAAATCTTTAACGCGTGTATGAAAGGCGCAATTAGAAGGTCATTCAAACGCAAACACTTTTGATATTTTGAGAAAATTAAAAAGAAATTGTTCAAAATACTTCTGCTTTCAAAAGCACTGAATTTTAATAGACCCATGTAATGCAAATATTAACAATGCGGCAGATATTTAAAAAAATACACACGAATAAACGAACACGAATGTTGCAAGAACTATTGAAATGTTCAAGTGGAAAGTTCATAAAAAACATTAAACCGACTCCGGAGTTTAACCTTTTAGCTACGCAGTTTTCTTCCTTCTGCACTCCGTGCGGTACGGACTTTTTTAAATAGACGAATTTGCTTGACCCCAGTGGAGGTTTAACTTCGGAGAGTGATGACAGCTACCCTCCCAGTGTTGAAAGTCCTTCTTGGTAGAGACTTAAAGGGATTAACTGAGTAAGAAAGTATAAACGTTTCTTCTGCAAAATAAAGTAATATTATTTCGAGCAATGATCCTCTTTTCTTTTGTACTTTTTTCATTCTTTACGCCACCCTCCCCGTCTGCACAACGTGTTACGTTTATAATAATAATTATAATTATTATAATTATTATTAAATTATTTTATATTATTATTAAGTTATTAATAAATATATTATTATTATTATTATTATTATTATTATTATTATGATATTCGAATGACGTCTCCAAGCGAAGGTGGACTGGCGATCAGTATTCCCGAATGTCTCACGAGATGCGGCGCACTGTAAAAGCAAGAAATATCAGAGGAGCCTACGCTCGCTCTTCCTCCCGCAAGACCGTACTCCATCAACACATCCCTGCCTGACAGCGTAGGCCGGAGCTCCGATGCGTGAGAATCGGAGATCAGCGGCTTGCCGTCCGTCATCAAGCGATAGATACGAGCCGACGCGCGCCTCTGGAGGTCAACCCAAAAGTCTCCCGTTCGACGGCTGGGTTGAAATGCTCTGGGAAACATCTTTCCCATTCGTATTTAAAAGGTTCGAAACTAATAGTCGGATTGACGCCTCCTTGCACCATTGAATTTCTCAACTATAGTTGTATTTACATGCGTGATTTCAGAAAGAAACTTCAAAATTAGGTTTTTTCAATTTTCCTCCCCAATTTCGGGATTTGGGCATCATTTGATTTGACGCGTATAATTTCGAAACTAATAGTGGGATTGACGTCTGCTTTGCACTATTGAATTTCTGGTCGAGAGTTGTACTTACATACGTGAATGCAGAAACAAATTACAGTATTATGTTTTTTCTAATTTTTCCCCCAATTTCGGGATTTGGGCATCATTTGATTAGACGCGTATAATTTCGAAACAAATAGTCGGATTGACCTCCGCTTTCCACCATTGAAATTCTCGTCTCAAGTTATATTTACATAAGTGATTTCAGAAAGAAACTACGAAATTAGTTTTTTTTTCAATTTTCCCCCAATTTCGGGATTTCGGCCTCATTTGATTTCACGCGTATACTTTGGAAACTAATAGTCGGATTGACGTCTTCTTCGCACCATTGAATTCCTCTACAAAAGTTGTATTTACATATGAAATTTCAGAAATAAACTACGAAATTAGTTTTTTTTCAATTTTCCCCTAATTTCGGGATTTTGGCCTCATTTGATTTCACGCGTAAAATTTTGAAACTAATAGTCGTATTGACGTCTTCTTTTCACGATTGAATTTCTCGTCGACAGTGTTACTTAAATACGTAATATCAGAAGGAAAGCATGAAATTTGTTTTTTATCTATTTTTTCCCTAATTTTGGGATTTGGGATTCATTTGTCTTCAAGCGTTTAATTTTGAAACAAATAGTCGGATTACCGTCTGCTTTGCACCATTGAATTTTTGGTCGAGAGTTGTATTTACATACGTGATTTCAGAAAGAGAATACGAAATTAGGCTTTTTTCAATTTTACCCCCATATTTCGGGATTTGGGCATCATTTGATTTCACGCGTTTAATTTCGAAACTAATAGTCGGATTGACGTCTATTTTGCACCATTGAATTTCTCGTTGAGCGTTGTACTTACGTGAATGCAGAAACAAACTACGATATTATATTTTTTCTAATTTTTCCCCCAATTTCGGGTGTTGAGACTCATTTGATTTCGGCGCACTGTAAAAGCAAGAAATATCAGAGGAGCTCACGCTCGCTCTTCCTGCCGCATGACCGTACTTCATTAACACTTTCCTGCTTGATTGCGTTGGCTGGAGCTCCGCGGCTTGCCATCCGTCAGCAAGGGATAGATAAGAGCCGACGCGCGTCTCTGGAGGTCAAGCCAAATGTATCGCGTTCGTATGGCTGGGTTGAAATGCTCTGTGAAACCTCATTCCCAATTTATTTAAAAGGTTAATAAAAACGAAAAGTAAAAAATTCATTTTAACATACTTTATTATGTGTTTGTTTCGCATTGATTATTTGAAAATATCTTGTGAAGACTAAATAAATGTAGTAACGTCCTTGAAGAAACGAAATATTAAATGTATGTTCAATATTATTATTGTTTGTATTGAAGTGAGTGTATATATTTATATTTATTGATTTTGAATCCACGTTTGGATTCGCGCATACTGTGTTCTGAATAAAATAAAAGAATAAACTCTCTGTCTCTCTCTCTTGCTCTCGCTCTCGTGGTCTCTCGCGCTCACTTGCTCTTTCTTGCTTGCCCTCTCGCTCTCGCTTACACTCTCTCCGTCGCTCTCTCTTTCGCTCACTCTCTCTCTTTCGCGCCCTCTCTCATTCGTGCACTCTCTTTCGCTCTCTCTTTCGTTCTCTCTTTTTTCGCTCTCTTTCTTTCACTCTCTCTTTCGCTCTCTCTTTTACTCTCTCTTTTTCTCTTTCGCTCCCTTTCGCTCTCTCTTTCGCTCACTTTTCGCTCTCTCTCTTTCGCTCCCATTCGCTCTCTCTTTCGCTCTCTCTATTTCGCTCTCTCTCTTTCGCTCTCTCTTCTTTTCTTTCTCTCTCCTTTTCGTTCTCTCTCCTTTTCGTTCTCTCTCCTTTTCGTTCTCTCTCATTTTCGCTCTCTCTCCTTTTTGCTCTCTCTCCTTTTTGCTCTCTCTCCTTTTTGCTCTCCTTTTTGCTCTCCTTTTTGCTCTCCTTTTTGCTCTCTCTCCTTTTCGCTCTCTTTCCTTTTCGTTCTCTCTTTCACTCTCTTTCGCACACTCTCTCTTTCGCTCTCTCTTTCGCTCTCTCTTTTTTTCGCTCTCTTTTTCGCTCCCTCTTTTTTTTGCGCTCTCTTTCGCTCTCTTTTTCACTCTCTCTTTCGGTCTCTCTTTCGCGCTCTCTCTCTTTCGCTCCCTCTCTTTCGCTCTCTCTCTTTCGCTCTCTCTCTTTCGCTCTCTTTCGCTCTCTCTCTTTCGCGCTCTCTCTTTCGCGCTCTCTTTCGCACTCTCTCTTTCACGCTCTCTCTTTCGCTCTCTTTCGCTCTCTCTCGCCTTCTCCCTCTCTTTCGCTCTCTCTTTCGCTCTCTCTTTCGCTTTCTCTCTTTCGCTTTCTCTCTTTCGCTTTCTCTCCCTCTTTCGCTCTCTCCCTCTTTCGCTCTCTCCCTCTTTCGCTCTCTCCCTCTTTCGCTCTCTCTCTCTCTCTCTCTCTCTAAATCGTTCGCCTTTTGTCCTTCGCTTACGCCTTCCTCTTTTCCTCAACACACGAACGTGAAAAGTGTTGCCTAACACAGTGAGAGCCAGGCGACAGCGTTTCGCGGTGCGCAGCTGCATCTGTTTGCAGCGAGACCTAACTGACTGTGTTGCGGCGGTGTGCACAGGCGCCCGCAGGGTGCGGTGGCGCGGGAGGGCGGCGGCGGCTGGCGGCGGCGGTGGCGGCGGCGGCTGGTGCTGCTGTACGCGTGGGGGCTGCCCGCTGTCTTAACCGCCGTCTGCATCACCGCCCACCAGTACGAGAGAGAGGCCCAGCGACGTGGCTACGCCACGCCCACCTTCTTCGAGACCAGGACCTGCTTTGTAGAGTACCATCGCCAGTCCAGGGACCTGCATGGTAAACACAGTAGGACCAAAGTAGTTGTTTAGAACAAAAGTGTTCTAATAACTCAGCCACTCAAAAATAATGATTTGTGTTCGAGTCTGGGAATTAGACCAAATTTTCTATATGATTTGGGATCTCTAAATCTGAATCCGTTGTCCGCTTTACATCATCACATCAAGTTTTTGACACAAACTCAAATAATATAAAAAATGAAAGATATTTCTAACTACGGGGTCAGACTATGTTACCTGTATGTTTTTGATCTCGCTGAAATCGAATCTGAAGTTAAGAGGACTTCGGATTCGGTTTCATTTACCTCAAAACATTGTTAACATGCCCAGAACCCTTGGTTAGATATATTTAATTTGTTATATTTTTTGAGTTTAGGTCAAAAACCTGATGTTATGGAGTAAAATGAACTCCTGATGCGGGTTAAGCGGCTCTAGAAACATAGAAAATATAGTCTGGTTCGCTGCCAATATTTTTTGTGTGGCTGTGTAATTCATGGTACCCTGCTAACTACTAACATCAGTTTTGAAATGGGAATTATTGGACCATAATTGTTATAAATAATCTTTAGCTTTAGCTTAATCTTTAGCTTAGTATTAACTACTCTTATCATTGGTCGGTCACCTATTGCAGGGTGACTAGTGAATGTAAATAAAAATTATTGTACTTTGGAATATTTACAAAGTGAGTAGATCCTGAGATACACCGATACACTTTACAATTGTCGATGTTATGGAACCCAGCGTAACGGTTTAGTTTCTTAATTCTCCAATCTGTATTGTAATAAGGCGGCTCGCATTACTTATGTCGTAAATAACTATTCCATTCCCGAGAAAACGATGGCGCCTGTTGCATCGTTGCCTACCAAACGTATCCGTTTCAGAATAAAATGTAATGTTATTTTCTTGTATTTTTCATTTTTATGACTACCTGTTACCTGTTTGTTTGCTTACTTTCAAATTGCACGAGTGTAGGTAACAACGTGGAAGAGGAACGCAAGCTGGGAACGGTGTACTACTATTACCTGCCGTGCGGGGCGCTAGTGGCGGTCAACGCGGTGTGCCTCGTGATGACGCTGTGCCGCATCCGGGAATTGCGCCGTGATGCCCTGTGCCTGAAGCGGGAGCCTGGGCTGCTTCAGAGGTACTGCGCATGCGCTGCGGAACATAGCTATAACGTGTTTAACTGATGGGTCTCTGCGCATTGGTGTGTTGAGCGATTGAGCGGCTGGAACGTCAGAAGATGAGAATAAAATTAAACTCTAAGGGGAGAGGGAGTCATATGAGCATTAACTCTTCAAATCCAATATTTTGTAATATTTTTCTAAATTTATTTTTAAAATGTTTTATGTTAACCACATCACATTCTAAAGCAGTACATATATCATTTTGAATACATATTTTAAGATAACTCTATACGTAAGCGCTCAAACTAAACGCAGCGCGCTGCTGTACGTGAAGCTGCTGCTGACGGCGGGCGTGCTGGAGTAGATGTTAAAGGTCCCAGTGTGGATAAGGTGTGCTAAAGTTCCTGTCTGTGTGCCCGCAGCGCGCTGCTGTACGTGAAGCTGCTGCTGACGGCGGGGGTGTTGGAGCTGGGGCTGGAGGCGACCGTGTGGGCGTTTCGCCCGCATCTGGCGCATAGCAAGCAGAACTTCTACCACGCGCAGCACGTGTCGTACGTGTTCTCGGCGATCGGGAGCTTCCTGGACGTGGCGCGCGCGGGGGCGGTGCTGTGGCTGGCCGTGGGGCGGGAGCGTGCTCGAGTGGCGTGGCGCTCGCTTCGCGACCGCTTTACTCTTCGTCTCTGTCCGAATGCCTCCTCCAACATCGAAGTCACTCGCAGGAGCACTCCCACCACCACCACCACCACCAACAGCGTGTCCACCTCGAGCGAGACGGAGCGTCTCTAGCGCGCCTCAGACAAAGGACGGCCTTTTTACCTTTCAGGCGCTGTAATCGTCTAGTCATTAAACTTGCGGCTGAGATGCCGTTGACAAGTTTAAAACGTTCTCCATTTATACTACGACTGTGGAACTCTGTGAATGTGTGTCTTAACGACCATTCGTAGAGGGCTTAACTTCTGGCACAGAGTTAGCACGTGTCGCAATCAGAAAATATGCAACTGGCGATATGTTAACAAAATAATTTGAACGATCCGAGTTTGTTTTGCGTATAAAAATATAGAGTGTTTCAATAAAAACTTTGCAAGTTTGAAAACGTGCAAAAACTCATTCATACAACCACAGATTTTAGGTTGGCGCCATCTTGAATGGAAATACGTGAAATTTTGACTGTGACTTTGTAAAGTAGCGACCTCTCACTTCAATCTGTCTGTCGCACACAATGGTGAGGTAAACGGGAAAGGTGGGCCGAACGCTGGGAAGGAGAGGAGTGTCCTGGGGGCTGCAAGGAGATTGTCAATTCACCTGGAGACCGGTGGAAAGCGCAGCCTTCAGATTGGAGGCTGCTTCTGACACTGCAGTGATTTCGTGTGAAGCATTCTTTCTGCATGAGGGAATTAAATGAAAAATCGCTAGAAGTTTGATGTCAAAAAATACAAGAAAGAGACAGTTTGATGCGCACTTTTACATTTCCAGATTTCCATCTCGTACTGACAATGTCTTTTACAATGTAAGCGGGAGATGTACCCAATAGTGGAAAGCACTTTCGTCGACCAGTTCGTAGCTGAAGTCACTAAAGTCCAAGGAGATATCCAGTAGCGGATACAGCGAGCGTAAGCAGAATGGCAATAAACATCTGTAAACACTCCGGAAGGCACTCGCGAAATGAAACAATTCTGCTTACGCCGGGGCCTGAGGCTCCGTAAGTGCTGGTGAGTGCGTCACTACAAATTCTCGTCTATTCGGGAGACGCCGCGTCGTTGGCTGGGAGGCCGACGTTTCGCCTGACATGTCGCAGACTTTCTCAGGGCACCTCACAGGCAGTGAGGACTAAAGCCCTTGTGGTTACCTCTCAAAATTTATCATTGTTCCACTGCCACGTATTTGTAAACCTTAAGTGTTCTGATTTTACAAGTGTCGTGTTTTAGTGCTTACATTATAACTCCAGCTTCTTATACATTTTTATCACCAGTTTCACTTGAGGGCATCTCAATAGCGTAAAATTGAATGTGATTTGCTGTTTCTTTTGTATGTGTAGAGTGAATTAAAAAAATAAATTATTATTATCGTATTCTGTACTTTTCATTATACTGGTGTTCAATGTAATGAAATATATATATACAATGCTTAATGCGTGCGGGTATTTACTCCCTCCCCCGTGCAGCGATATTAACAAAGAATATGCGAAGCAATGGAAATAACTAATGTGATTATAAACCGAAATTTGGTACATCTGCGAATACATACCAATTAGACTACTATGCATGTGTTAACTTAATGCTACAAAATGTTATTTTAATTTTAGTTCAATTTCTTTCAGGATTTATTATTTTGGAATGTTGTGCTGTATTGTTTACTTGTCACATTTTTTAAAGTTAATTCAACAAACCAGCAACATTTATAATTTAAATCTCTTAATAATAATTTTTCGAATCATTTAAGCATGTCCTAGAGATAATACAGACGGCTTTCTTTAAAAGACGTGGGTTCGTGTTTTGAATGTTGCGATAACATTTCACGATGTCACGATAACATTTTTTCTGGGATTGATCCCATTATTCTGATTTTATCAAAATCTCCGTTCTTACGATATTAGACAGTAACTTTTTTGCTTTGTGATTTTAAAGATATTTAGATATATGTTGACAAGTTCTTAAGATAAAGTGGCAACTCTTCAGCAAATAAATTCTAGATCTTGCATATAATTTCGATTTACTGAGTCTTAATTTCTTGAGCTTCTAAATTTGACGGAGTATTTGGATCATATTTCTTAGGATTTATAAATTGATTTTGCTGTGATTTAATTTCCGAAATGGGTTAGCGCCTTATTTGTTATAAATATGAATCTAATTGTATCTGGGCTAGTCATTAGTGAATCTGCTCTGATTAAACTGAAGTCTCGGTCGGATATTTTGGCACCCACAAGATATTTTTTAAGTTAAAAAATAGAGAATATTATTTTCTAATTTCGTTTTTGCAATGTGTCACCTGTTCTTGTGACATATCGTCTTCCAACACCGTGCCACTTTTGTCGCCATCCCCTCTACGTAATCTTCCCTCACATTATCTACTTCATTTCCTACATTACAAGCAAATCTGACGTCACCGGGTTTCTATCGTGGTTACGGTCTTATCGTGGTTATAGTGGTTAGGTACATAAGCTTCTGTTGGCGATAAAGTTTTATTTTATGATATTTTTTATATTTAGCACCTATCATTTTATTATATTTAATTAGCTACTGCTGGTAATAAAGTATATAATAGGTATTAGTGTGTAAATATTTGTTCATTTTGTTTTCATCACAATGAGTTGCTGGGAGACTATTAGCAATTTTTCACCTGATAATTGTAATTTGAATTGTTTTCTTGGTACCGACCATTTCCTTTTTTTAAATTTAAAGGCATCTCGGAATCTGTTTGAGACTGTTGCGCCCTCTACGGTGGGAATGCAACTGGATACTTGTATTTCCATGAAAAAAATCATTCCATTTTTAGAGAACACCATAAAACATGCCTGATACGTTCTTGAGAATTTCAATATGTAGGAACGTAGGAAATTCCAATAATTGGATCAATGAAATGTCTGTATTATAATGTTATTATAATAGTTTGATACACCTTACTGAAATAAGCTACATAAATTATTTATTTTTGTACTGTGAGTTACAAAAAATATTTTTCTAAATTTACATTCCAGAGCTAAGAAGTGTGTTAGTTTAAACTGGGGTATGTGAAAAATTGCGAGAATGAATGAGATATTATGTTCTTTCCTGAAAGTTATTCGTGCCCCGATATATATCTTTAGACTATGACATATCCCAAAATAAAATCATTAATAAATTCTGAGAATTATTTGTGAATACGGCCAGGCGGTAACAAATCAATAACGCAAGTGTTTACGTGACATAAAAAAGCCGTGTGTAACACCCAACATCTATTTTCAATGGCACAATTTCCGCCGTTTTTTTTTGTTTTTTGTTCGTGGTGGTGATTTTTATAGGTAGGTATATTTATTCTTGAAGGTCATGAGAAGGAAAGTGGAAGAAATAAAAACAGTAACAAATTCGTACCTACAATATACTGTATTCAAACACAATAATGCAATTATAGATAATTAGGGAAATTAAAGTATTACAGTTAAAGTCGATTCGGGTTACCGAGATCACTAAGGCAGTAGTGCTGTGGCGATCTCGGACCGAAGGATCGTGAGTCCAAATCCATGCAAATCTTTGTCTAATAACAATGTAAAAAAGTGCATAAAAATAACGCTTTTTCAAAAAAAATGTGTAAAAGGTGCATTTTCTACTGTTTTATTTTGGAGAAAACAACTTTTATGCAGTGTATCCTGTGTGACCCTCTGAAATGAAATATCGAATAATGTTTTTCAGTAACTTATTTTTGAAGATTTTTGAAGTTTATAAAGATTAACATTACTCCATGTGCCTTGAGTCTTATGTACTCTTTATTCACGGCCTTTCGAGCGTGTGAGTTTGCTCTCTTCTGTAGATTTTCTTTATGTAGGTTGCACTTTATACAGATTTACATTATCATATAGTATACCTTCAATTTCCTTGACAACGACAGCGCTGCAATAGCAGAGATGGCCCCATTCCACGTGCTTCCACCGCCGCAAGCACCGGCCACAAGTGCGAAGTAAGCATCCACAAATCTGGTGTAGAAATGTGAGAGGTGCGATTAACACACTGCTATCAACCGCCAGGCAGCGAATGCGGTTGATGCAAATGCAGTTTTCGGTATCAGACGTGAATATCCGTTTATTTTCAGCAGCATTGCATACATTCCTCCATATACGTTCGTACACAAAACGTAAAAACTTGGATATATTGAAAGGTTTTCTTTCGGATCGAGGAGTATTTTTTGATTTCGACTTAATTCAGAGGCTAGTTTTTAAAATCAATAATCATGCCACTCGCCCTTCGTGGCAGTTTCTTCAAACGACTTGAACCCATTACAAATGAAGCCGTAGATATACTTCACAATGTAACCATTGAGTAATGATATACCTCCTTAGTCTATGTTGTAACTACGAGTCTGTCTTCGCATAGGGCGTTTTTTAACACCAAACTGTCAAACACAATGCAAGATCGGGGAGCATCGAAAGAGGAAAACTTTGAGTTGTATCACGGAGTGTCTGAGAGAGCTAAGCCAAAAAGGAAAAGGTGTGATTAGTATTTTTCCCTGGTCGAATTCGAGGGAAAATGTGAAGCTCCTAGGCGTCAGATTTTACATCATTATTCAAGCTACCATGTAATGAAATGTCATTTCATTCGGCCCTTTCTGATTTCCTCCTTCATGCTATGCACACAGAAATCATTTACGGTACGTAGTTTAACATAAAAAATTCTCGAAAGAAATGTTGGTTGTAGAAAAAAGTTGGTTATTCAAGTTATGCAGACTGAAATCATTTACGGTACGTTGTTTTACTTTAAAAGTCCTGGAAATAAATGATGGATGAAGAAAATTTTGCATATAAACACAAACAAGGCCCAGAAATTATTGCGCAAAAGCATTGAGTCACATTTCTGTTAACATTTCATGTTAAAAGGAATCTGATTCATCGTCCGATGTCTAATTTTTCAAACATATTAAAATACTGATAGGCTGAAACACCATGTTAGAAGGACAACGGGATGGGCAATTTACTGCTCAAATACATATCTACGCACAGATAATTTGAATATATAATTAATTTGGGGACATATGTTCCCTTTAACAATCACTCATTCAATTCAAGAAGTGCTGCGATAATTCCACATGATGGTCAGTGTTGGCACATTGACTGCCAAATTAGTTAAAATTTTGCGCGACGCTTTAACAGTTCAATTTCGTTACTCTTTGAAGGCATTTCAGAAGTAAAGATCATACATTTCAAACTTCCCGCTCAGAAGAGTCTTACTTTTGCTCAAAAAAGCCGCGTGAATTCGTTCCCAGTTAACCAAATACTCATTTATTTCGTACAAGTTCTTTAACGTCGATTATCATCTGCTTCCTGTTAGTTCGGAGCGCCACCAGAAGATCGCATCAGCTCCTGAACAGTCGCGAAACGTGCGAATTGAACAGACGCGATTGTCATATTTCTCGCAATCCAGCTCTTTCCACTTTAGACGCAGACGTCTAGGATTGTCATGAAAATCAGAGGAGACGCGACCTGTTTCGTTCGCAGATTCTAAGTGAAATGTGTTGGGCGCATTCAAAGTACGATTCGGGGTGCCTCCAGGCAAATTTCAGCAACTTTCTGTAGTCTAACGTGCTGTAAAACGCGAAATTCATAACGAAAACGTTTAATTTCGTCAGAACAGAGGTAACCATGAACATTTCATCAAACTCATTGATTAGGCAAAGTAACAATCTTTGACAATTATGTATCCTTTCATTCCCAGAACACTCTTGTCCGATGAGAACTTTCGATGGAAAAGGCGATGTTAGTTGCAATTTCTGCTAATGCTCTCCCAATTTATCTAAGCAATATTTCGCAGCCTCAACAGTCAGCTACTTTGTCTGCGTGTCTATATTCGTCTTGACGAATGGATGCTGAATACGCATGTTGCCAGATCCAAGTGGTATTATCTGAACGTGTTTTCAAGTGTGATGAAGTGTTATGGAATAATCAGTCTATCTCTTTTCGAAGGTCCTTTTCAGAAGCGAGTACGAGCTGCTGAAGTATTGGAGACGAAACGTAAGACCCCACACGTGACTACCTTACAATAAGCTTTATTGTTGACTCCCTGACGTACCTTGCGTTGCCCAATGAATCATGATCATCTGCACAGTGAAATTATTGTAGCGTGG